ATCTTTGTTGCTTGTGTTTAAAACCCTTGTGGAATGATTCCTTTTCAGAAGTGTCTTCCAGATATGGCTTGTGTTTAGGTTTTGAGACTCTAATGACTCTGAGGCTATTTTATTTTCCTTATACCAGGAACAAGAAAACTGATTAGATCAATCACAACATGTTAGGCCAAATGTTAAAATCAGAAATACCATAGCATCAAGCACAGCTTAGAAAATGACAATTTGTGGTAGTTGTTAATCTATCACATTTAACTATATGAAGTATAATCCCCTGTGCCTCTGTAGTGTGGGACCAGGTAGCAGAAGAGCTGGAAGGGAGATGGGGGGATGGAATTTGGCCTTTCAGGTGCCCGCACAACTAAGCGGAGCACTGGATGAAGGTGGGGCTCCAAGCTGCCATGATACTGATTTTATAAAGGAGATAAAATCAGAAATACAAAGAAACAGACAATTGCCTTTATTTCCAATCTCTTTTAAATTCTTTTAAATTGTTATAAGAATTAAAAATTCTTTAAAATATCTAGAGGAGTTACCAGTTTAGAGTCAACACATTTTGAAAATAATATTTTTATTGTACACTGTGCATATTGTATTAAATATAATTTTACAGCTTACAAATAACTAGGTTAATAGTATCACTTTTACTTCTAGCTGAAAATGATATGTTGAATACTCAAGACAGAAAAGAAATAATGAATGGTACAAAATCAGGAAAAATAGCCAAGAATAGATTTTTCTAAAACATTTGGCATTCTACTTCAAGAAACTGATAACTCTTCACTTCAGTTATTTTATCCCCATGACATAGACAGGTCCTTTAAAGAACAGAGCAGCAGAAAATCTTCTAAATCAGAGGCCAAGTATGGGTCATGTGTTCAAAAATGTCATATATGATGCTTTTCAATGGCATAAAATAAGTTAATCTAATGTAAATTGTTTCTCATATCTGCTGATATAAGAAGGCTCACTTCTTCCTATCTTCTTTAACAGAACACTATTCCTCACTCTTAATGCTTAATCCAGACCCCCAAATCATTGTAGAAATATTCTGCCAGGGGAATTGGCTTGCTATGCACATGAAGAAACCATTTAATTCTAATGTGAGGAATCAGAAAAAGTTTCATGGGTAACATAAAATTAGAACCAAGTCTTAATGATGCCAAGGTAAAATTGCTATCAGGCTGGCTTCTAAGGAGGTCCCTCATAAGAGATGAGCACCTCAACTACAAGAATTTCAGGATATATCCCTGAGAGTTATTGCTAGATGTATTGGGGTACAGGAGTTCCCACTCAGAAATGACTGTGGGTGCCTAAGGGTGAGATACATTATGATCTAGAATTAGGGTCCATATAGTTTTTGGAGGTGTCCTTTAAGAGGGAAGATCTAAGATGTTTTGCCTATGACATTCTTTAAATTATTTACATTTGCTTCTTTATCTTTGTATCAGTTTGTTACCCTTTACTTTATCAATTAGATTAATTTATGGACTTTTAGTATCTAAGATTCTTAAGAATTTGGGAGTGATAGGCCTAGGAAAAAAAAAAGCCTAGAGAATCAGTTTATGGGTTACCCTGGATAACTTTGACTATACATTACAGCTACAATTTCCTTCTTTCCTGTCTACTTATCTTTGTTTATTCTATCTTGCCTTAAAATGAGGAAGACTGAAATTCCCAGGACAGTATACATTTTAATGATGCATGTAATATAGGGTGTGTACCAGGGAAAATATGGGAGACAATAACATTTGGAGGATACAAACCAACCAATGGAGAAAAATAAGTTTCTCTCACTGAAATTTAGGCATAAATTATGAGAATGAAATTTTAAAGTCAAGACAAAGCAAAGCAATACAGAGATACTCAAAATGACTTAAAAAGTTCAGAACTATGAGAACCCTCAGAGTATCAGAATCTCATTTTAACTCAATTGAGGGAAATAATTGCGTGCCTGTTATGGGTTAGGCAATGTATTATTTATCATTATATTGTCACAGCGGGAGAGGAAGCTGAAGTTTATAGAGATTGTTACTTTCAAAAAGCTTGTTGAGGGCAGAGTTGGGATGTGAAAGATCTCCGTGACTCTGTATTTTAAATGGTTATCTACTATTCTACTGCATTCTACATCTAAATTGCTTTCTCTGATGTATTAACTGGAGAAAAAAGCCGGAGTTGTTAATCTGGGAAAGGGGTTATAGAAACTTAAGCGATCATCACTGGTAGTCTTTGGCATAGTTGCAAAGCAGTTAGGTGCTTGATATTACCAATTGCCTGTCTCCAAATAGAATAAACTAATTTGCTGTAATCCAACAAAACAAATTCAAACAGCTGTATACAATGCCATTTACCTCTTATAACCAGGGGATTCTGGTTAAAATGAGAATATCATGCTAAGCTATGACAAATACAGTGACCTCAACAGATTGTTGATTCATTAAGTTATGAGAAATAGTAGTGAGGTCATTCCTGTCCCAGGACCTATAGTGGGTCTTCCTTTTCCCCAGTATTTTATCATCATTTGCTTCTGGTCACCATCTTCCTGATAGGAATTGCCAGCATATCATTTCCATGGAAGCTCAGATTACTGGAGGGGTTCCTCTAACGAACTTCTTCCTTCCCCTTTTGCCCCCTCAAATGTGTTCCTCACCCAGCAGCCAGTGGCCTCACTTTAAGACATAAAGTATCGTGTCATTTACTAGCCTACAGCCCTAGAGTAGCTGCCCACGTTTCTTAGAATAAAGGTCAAAATCCCCTTACCATGGTCTATAAAGTTGTAACTAATTTGCCTAAATCCTAACTGCTTTCTTGAATCAATTTTCTATATCTCTCCACTTCCTTTAGTATTCTAATCATATTATTTGAATTTCTATTTCTGGAATACAGAAATTACATCAGATGATAGAAGGTGAGTGCTTATGGATTATAAGAAAATAGCCTTGAGTATCCTGACCACTGAATATTTTGTCAATTAGAGGGAAATGAATATAATTGAATGCATTCAAGTATCGTAGATAGATAATAGTAAACAATATATTTGTATTATTGCTATCTACCAATAGACAGAATTGCTATCTAAAATTGCTATTTACCATGTTTTCTCAAAAACAAGAGTTAGCTGGAAAAACAGGCTTGAAAACTAGAGATCAAAAATGCCAGACCCAATGAGCGCACCCTCGCCTTACCTGCCTTACAGAGTAGCTACTACACGAGAGAACAATGAAGGCAGGTGAGGCAAGGACAGGCTTATTGGAGCTGGCAGTTTTGATTTCTGACTTTCAAGGCTGATTATTTTCTGGCTAGGTGTTATTTTTCAGGGAAGAGGGTATCTGTCCGTCTATGTATTTAAGAACATACTGTAGTCTAAGAATTGTTTCACAGGTCAGAAAACAAAAGAGATAAGTACCTGAAATTTTTCTAGTGAGATGAGAAAGACAATATATAGATAATTATGTATGATGCATCTGATAGTGTATATTAAGAGAAATTGTGGAAGCTATGTATTGGAATTAGCCATTTTATACATAATGGTCAAGGAGGGACTTATGACTAAGATGACATGAGAGAACTTCGGAAACGGAGACATATGCACTCCTGAACAAAGGGTTTTCCAGGTCAAAATAACAGCAGACGTAAAGACCCCGAGGCACATGCATAGTTAATATGATCAAGTTAGAGTGGGAAGGAAAGTGATGAAAGAATAGAGAGGGAGGCTGTAGGAATGGAAATTGTGCTCTGAAAATGAGTAGACTGATGGCGTTTGAGGAGATGAGGAAGGATGGTCTGAGAATAGGGAGATGGACAGCGGGTGGAAGGAGAAGCAACGGGCTGGAGATGCCATGTGGGTATGCACCCACAGCCCATGGTGAACGTATTCATTATGCATCACAAGCATACTAATAAAAACGTTTTAAAAACAATATGACAAGAACAATGGGTTATGTTTGCTTGAAGCGAGGGGAAGCCTTTCAAGGGGGACTTAATTGCACTGTCTCTTATATTATAATAAATTTTTTAAAATAAAAAATGAAACAAAACAGAAGAAAATTGGCAGGTGCCAGATTATATAGATGATGATAAGAGCACTCTGTTTATTCTGAGAAAAACAAGGAACTATTTGAAGATTTCAGTATAGGAATGGCTCAAATTATTTAATCTATTTTTCAAAAAAATTGCTCTGAATGATTTAAGAATAGAAAACAAAGAGCCAAGAAGAGAGACAAAAAAAACTAAGACCACAATAAAATGGATTATGACAGTAGTACAGATCAGAAATAATATTGGCTCAGATAAGGATAGCGACAGTGTAAGGGTGACAAATGCTACAGTCTGGAAGTGTTTTGGTTTTCGGAAGTGTTGCCAACAGGATTTACTTGGTGGGATAGATAAGAAATGTTGAGAGAAAAAATGTCGACATAACTGCATGGTGCTACATGTATGTTAATTGGCTAGGGTTCACCATTCCACAGTGCAGAGCCTACTGCATAGTGCAGAGCCATACTGCAGAGCCTTGTGATGTACACGGTGAATAAAATTTTCTCTGTTCAAAAATTTTGTTTAAATAACTCCAATGTTTTCATCTCTGGCAACTTGGAAAAAAAAAGATTTTTCCATTTTCTAAGATGGGGCAGATAAAAAGGACAGAGAGTTAACCACTATGAAAATATGTAAGGTTTAATATGCCACAAGGTAGTCAAAATAAAAAAAAGTCATTAAGAAGTCCCAGATCCTAAGACAAATCTTTTTTTTGTTTGTTTGTTTGTTTTTTCTGGTTTGGTTATGTGGACATTTCATTCAAGATAATTTATTCTCCTGCTCACTTTGATTTTTTACACTTTTCTGATGATATTTAATTTTTGAAGTGAAGCCACTCTTTAAAATGAGAGTAAGAGACTAAAAAATTATGGCTCCAGAAAAAGACTAGATTCTAGAGACTTGTCCTTGTGCTAAAGCCAGTGTGCTTTGACACACCACCCTTTCTGCCAGGTCTCTTGTCATCTTACACCAGAGAGCACATTAAAAAACATATTCTGTCCGCCTGCCTTCCTTCCTTCCTTCCTTCCTTCCTTCCTTTCTTTTTCTTTCTTTCCTTCCTTCCTTTCTTTCTTCCTTCCTTCTTTGTTTCTTTTTCTTTCTGGTGATGGATTATTATTTAAGGATTTAAAGAAAGAAAGTGCATGGTGAATTTTTCATTCAGAAAAGCCTCCATTACCCTTGGCATTCAGGATTTTTAATATGGTAACTTTAGCAACTTGTAGGAGAAATAAATCTAAATTGTAATAGGTTATATAATCTAAATTACAGGAGGTTAAATAGTAAATTGTGAGTGAATTTTAAATGACCAAATGTGGCATTAGCTTTATAAAAAAAATACTCAACATAGCTGTGCAATCCTTAATAAGATATATATTTATAGGTACACGTGGATATTCAAAGACCATGTCTGAATAGCTCCACACATAAATACATTCGACAGAAGCACTGTGATAATAACATGTAACCAAAACTGGGATTAAAGTTAGGTTGTGTACAAGTCATATGTTGGTGTTTTGCTTTCCCAGGAACTTTTTCTCACCATGGTACATAGTTTACCTCTTTGATATTGCAAGAAGAAAAGGAGCCTGATCATTGTATTTTCTAATCATATTTTACATCCTTTTTTTTCAATTTTAGCCTTGGATCCACTGTTCAGTTCTCTTGTGATGAAGATTATGTTCTACAGGGAGCAAAGAGCATAACCTGCCAGAGAATAGCTGAAGTCTTTGCTGCATGGAGTGACCACAGGCCAGTATGCAAAGGTAAAGAAAAGTTTTAAAGTAAAAATGCTGTCTGACCACATTGTAATAGTTTTAAGTTTGTTTATTGAGTGTAAATGTAAGTTAAATCTATGAGCTGGTATCTTCATGAGTCACTTAACACATGTATTGAACAATATTTATTGAAAATCTGTAAACTGCTCTGTTGGGTGCCCAAGAAATGTCTGATCTAATAGTCATGCAACAAAGTGTAAGACATTGGAAATGTTTCTGGTCTTTTAAAACAAAAATCACGATTACCCTCCCTTTAGAAATACTGATATGGATTTCTAACCATATTTCCACCTCTACTCATACAATCTGTCATTTTAATTATGTATGTGTTCATAAGGTAATGCTGGTAGCAGTTAGAAGTGAAACTCAGCTTCCATAATTAGTTAAACTAAGAGAAGCCAATGAGTTCTCTGGCTTCACATACTACAAGTAATTGTAGATCAAGCATGAGTATGCAATGCAAAAAACTGACTCAGGGAAAGGTTAAACGGAGATAAAAATGTTATTAAAGAAGAAAATGTTATTAAAGAAGTTTTAATTCCTTGAGTGAGGAACCAGGAAAAAACTAAAATTACCAGCTTAAGGTACCTTTGAATTTGTAAATAGGAGTTCAAATATTGAAATGTATACACTTTACCTGGTGCTGAATTCTATTAATGATTCTCAGTAAAAGAACAATAACTGATGATGAGCCACAGTAATTCCTTATAGTATCAATACTGTCATGGTCAGCTTTAAAAAAACTAATATACCAAGTTTATTAGACATAAGCATCAAGGTTTGCAAGAAGATGCATTGAGAACAGGTTCATTCCCATTAGCAAGGACTTGTAATGCCTGCCAGTAGAGTTAAAAGCTATATCTCAAATTTAGAGATCAGTCATTGACTTGTGACAGAGCATCAAAATAATTATGACTTCATTGAGACAAGGTATGAATAGAATTGAATGGTGTTACACCTTTTCTTGGCTTCTGTGTTGTTATACCCGCTCCCACCTTCTGACTGCCTCTTTGCCATCTGCTCCATTTGCTCATTTTTCACTTTTTGAAATTTGACTTGCTAACCATGAAAGCCTTCTCTCTGTGCCCTCTCCTTTGTCCTTGCTTCCACTCCCACCACATTTCTTCAAATAAAATACATTCTTATGTATTACATGAGGGTCTTCCTTCTTAAACTTCATGAAGCTGTATTTTAAAACTAACTTGCTGGCATTCCTAGTTGCTGATTGTGTTGTTGTGGTTACTTTTAATAATGACATTCATCATTTTTGGTGTCTTAGTCCTCAAATTCCTCAGCTCTTCTTCTCCCTCGAATATTTCACTGAGTCACCAGACCCTGCAGAATCTTCAAAGACAGGATGAGAATGATGTCAGGGAAGTACAGAAGGGGCAGATCTGAGAGCTGCTATAAATGGAAAAGACACAGTATTTCACGACTGGCTGGATATAGAAGGAGAAAGTGACAGGGAGACAAACATGATGCTCAAGTGTGTATGAGTAGAAAAGCCTTGTGCTGTTAAAAAACATGAAAGAACTGAAAATGGAGTTATGTGGGAAAATATCCACAGTTACTACAACATTGTCGTCATTGGCACCAGTTTTGAAACACTTCCTGTGTGCCAGGCATTATGCTAATCATCTCATATACTTTGTCTCATTTAAGCCTCAAAATAAACCAATAAAGGCATTATTATTTCCATTTTAGAAATGAAGAACATAAGGCACAGAGTGATCCAGTCACTTTTCCAAACTCAAATAGCTAGAAAATGGCACAGTCTTTTTAAAAGACTTTTCATAAAGTGGGGAGGAGGAGCCAGATTTCAGAACATTAGCGAAGGATGAGAAAATGAGAGAAAATGATAAAATGGATGCAACAGATACACTCCACTTAGTTGGCAAAGGCAACCCAGAGTGAGAAAGAAGAGGGAATTCTCAGGTTCAAGTAAAAGTTTCTTGTCATATGTAGATGTTTATTCATCACCATTCCTTTTTTAAAGGCTTATGTGATGACATATAGGACAACAATATTAAAATAATGAATAAAACCAAGTTGATGAAAAGGTGAGATAAAAGTTATATGATTCTAAACATTACATAGAATTATGTAAACAATGCTTTAAATGGTTTAAGTATTAGATTTAAATAATATAGCTGTCAAACATGTAAAGAAGCCCAACCAATTTATATAAAAAGCATTATCTATAGGAGACAATCATGCTAGTGACACAAGGAAATTACACTTTTTCCTGGGTGTGATACATAAAATATCTTGAATATTCTTTATGAAGCACATACTACGTTTTGTTCAGTGTCATCAGTATACTGACACTGAATGGAATAATAAACTGCATTACACTGATTTCTCATAGTTCTCACCACTCAAGATAAAATTATAGCAATAAGCAACAATGTTGTGAACACCATGGCTTCATAATGATATGTTCCAAGTATCTTAGTTCACTGTTTACATAAATTGGATGTGTGTATTTTTGGTAGAAAAACATTAAAATAGATGATATATTCAAGAAAATAGATTAATGTTAACATGGGGGAAAAACATCTCACATTAAAAAGTTAGAGCCAGATCATAGAACTTAAGATCTCTGTACAATAAGATTGAAAGTATAGGGCTGGGGATTTAGCTCAGTGGTTCTGGCGCCTGCCTTGCAAGTGCACGTTCCCGAGTTCAATCCCCGGTACCAAAAAACAAAAAAAAAAGAAGAAGAAGATTGAGAGTATAAACCATTTTATTCTTTAAGGGTTCTCATTTTGGTAACAAAGAATGAATTATGCATGTGATTGTATAATGGCTCAAAGGCAGAAAGAATGTTTTACACTATTTTGTTAATTTTCAAAATGGCACAAAGTGGAGCTCTTTAATGCTTCCAATCTCAAGAAATGTTTGTTGAATATTAATATGACTGTTATCTGTTTTAGATTCTAATATAGTTAGTGGTATCTAAAATGTATGTGTGTGTTCATTCAACAGTCATTAACTGAGAGTTATAAAATTGCACGTTCAAGATTCATATGTTGATATGATTTCACCTGGCTTTATATCATTTTGGCAGAAGTTAATCACATATACATAGCTTTAATTGCTCATTGCTTTCAAGGCACATATGTGTATGGTTTATAAAATACGTTTTGCTGCTAGAAATTACTAGCCATGCTGTTAGAAACAGTTATGGAGGGAACATGCTGAAATAGTAATTGAAGTTTAAAGTGACTATCCACTGTGAGTCTGAAGAAAGAGTAGTTCTTGTGTCTCATGGGTGTTTGGACAGAATAAAGATGCTTTCTGTAGAGAGCCGCATAAATAGCAGTATCAGTGTAGCACACCTTTGAGAGATTAAAAATATAGCTGCTGTCTATGTGTTGCATGGTTGAGCAATCAAGAAATGGTGATTTTCAAAGGGACAAAAAGTTCACACAGAGAGAAAATTATGAAATAAAAGAAAACAGAAATTCATAAATTAATATTAATGGGTTATTAATGAGTTTTATGCAAATTCAGACAATTCTATTCCCTAAATGGAATACATATACAAAGTATTTATCAATTTATACTAATGGAAGCAATTATTCCTTTGTTGGAGATGCAGAAGATGCCCAAAAGCTGGAGCTTATGCAAATAAGCAAGTAGCCTTATACCTTGAATGATATATAAAATGTTAGTTATATAGCTTTTGCACATTTAAAGAAACAGCATTTGGGATGGGGAACTGGTAATTCTGCTCATTTGGAAAAACATAAGATATTTGATAATTATAGGCTGACCAAATAATTAGAGATGGAACAAACAATATTTATTTGGATGCCCCCCCAAAACCAAGATTTGTTTCCAGTGACTCAAGGCTATGAGCCATTCTTGGGAATAATGGAACAGGAGGTTAAAGGATGATTAGAAAAGACACATTTTTCTTGAAATACAGGAAACTAGTATAAAAGTCATGGAATCAGCTTTTAATTCCTTTATTCAGCCAATTATGTTTTTGTTTATTTATTTCTGTATAGATCAATTTCATTTTAATCCTGAACATATGAACATGAGTTGTCATAGTGGATTAAACACCGTGGTGTGCAGTATTTGGTATGAGGACCAGCGATGTAGCTCAGTGGTGCAGTGCCAGCCTAGCAAGTGCGAGACCCTGAGTTTGATTCCTAGTACAAAAAAAAAACCCAAAAAAAAAAACCACACCAACTCGGTATGAAAGCTTTTATTATTTTGTTTTGCTTTAGAAAGCATACACACCAAACTAGGTATAATATTCCAGACCCTTTATGTACAAGATAGAAGCAACCCTCTGCAAAATTCATTTGCAAAGCTTATTTTTCTATTTGGAGATAGCCATTCATTTAGATGGAAGGAGTAACATGTGGGCAGAAGTTTGAAATTATTTTGCATATGGAAGTCATTTCAAAAACACAGAGAAAAAAATCGTAAGTAAAATCACAATGTGAATTTCATATATACAGAGGGAGTGGAGGGAGAATGAGAATTTCATTTTGGTTGGCTAGATGAATGAGTGTGACATAAGATTAGAAAAGTTCTGTATCTCCTGCTTTGAAATGTCTCTGGAAGCAACCTAAAATTCCACACCCCTTATCACTGTTCCATAAGTGCCATGACCACAATTATTTCTGGCCTTTTAATTGAGACTACAATGTATCCTACATATGACAGTTTAAGCTTTTCAAAATCTTACTTTTGTTACAACTTTGGAATGTTCAAAGATTCCATGCCATTTTTCAATTTTGTACTATAAGCCAGAAAAATGAAATAATCAAGAATATCAACTTAAGTGTCATACTATGCCAATCCATATTCATGATCTTCTACTTTAACAATATATCTTCTTTATAATGATTATATTTTACCTATAAAAATGATGTTATATCAGTACTCATGTCATTGGGACTTCCAAATTGGGATGGAATGAGACAATTCATTTAAAGCGTTAGTATAGAAGGCTGACTGATTCATAG